CTATTCTATTCTATTCTATTCTATTCTATTCTATTCTATTCTATTCTATTCTATTCTATTCTATTCTATTCTATTTTATTATATTATATTATATTATATTAGGAAAGTGTATCCGGCAAATGTGAATCTGTCTACAAAATCAAATATGGTGTCACCGAATTGAGCAGGCAATCATCTACCTCAGATATGGGTATGTACAATATCGACAGTTTGTTACTATGCTATAAACGTGTGTACAAGTATAACATACATACAACATTGCGCCTGTTCACCCAGACAGAAATAAAATAGAGACAGTAACATTGTGTTATCCCCCCTTCCAGAATCAAAGAACGTGATGAACATCACTAAAATCAGAAACCTTGACAACTGCGAAGAACACAAGGAGATGCAGAAATCTACTATTTCCGGCAAGGAAATGGACGAGGATAGAGAAAACAGGAGAAATTCTTTGAAATCTATCAGCCAAGTGCGTTACAATGTCACCTACAACAAAGATAACCAACTGAAATTCCTTATTGAATCAGCCATTGCTGAAGGACAACACATATATTCCCCATACCGTGATGATATCAGCAATGTCGTCACCTTCGTCAAGTAAGTATAATATATTTGACTGAAAGTACTGTGGTCGCTGCACCACTGTGTTTGACATGGATTCCATATGAATAGAAAGCCTGTAAAAACACATAATAATTTGAAATAATATAACTATTCTTTGGATTTATATTCACCTCGCATCACTTCCCATTTTTAGAAATTTTACCTTACTATGTGTCATCAAGTTTGCTATTATTTATTATCATTTGTAATGTTTTGTTTAATCAATAGTCAAACTTTGAAACTGAGGGAAAGCCGCGACATCTCTGAAAGAATTGAAGAGCCACGTGACACCAAGAAGAACAGCTTGAGATACGAATTCCCTGAACAGAAGGAACTTAAAGAGAAGATCGAGCGTGAAGTTTCCCCAAGACACCTCACCAGAGACGAGGTTGTTGAAAGAAAGACTGAAGTTAGAAATATCCTGAAGGATCTGACCAAGCAGTTGAGATATGAGACCATTTCTGAAGAAATTCCATCTCGTTTCATCCTGTTGGTGAAAAAACTGCGCGATTTGAGAAAGGAGGAACTTAAAGATCTTTATGATGAGGTTGAACGCAAACAACAAGACGAAGATGATGAAGAGTATGAGAGAAAGATGTAAGTTGGCTGCAATTCACGGATTGTCATTCTGAAGCAATATGATATCGAACTTATAAATATTTTCGTACCTTATATGTTAGTTACCTTGATATTTTCTGGTTTCACTTACAGGAAACTGTTCAAGGATACCCTGCCAATGATCAACACTGAAGAGTCTGTCAGATTCATCAAGGAAAAGATCGAGAGACGTGAATTCGAGCAGTTACGTGCAAGCGAGATGCTGAATCTTATTGGATTGATTCATGACCCAAGCCACGAAACTTTAGAAGAGATTTTGGTAAGGAATTCCTCAATACAGTATTGTGTATTGTGAACAAATTGTGCATACTATTACTGATTCAAATACTGATACAATTCAACTTAATAATAATTGACAGTACAAAAGAGCTGTAAATATGATATATTTGTACATCTTTAATAGACAGGTGAATTGCACAAATGATCAAATTATATCAATTTGTACTTTCACTTTAGGATCTGTGCAAGCAGAATGAAATCCGTGAACAGAAGGAAGTATGGAAGACTTGTTGGTTGAGCTTTGGCTCTTTGGTCAACAGTGCTTTCAACGAGGACAAGAAAGATGGCAAGATTCAGACTATGATCAATGAGGTTGAAAGACAAATAAGAGAACAAGAACAAGAACAGATTCGTACCCAAAGATCACAAGAGCGCATTGAAGAACTCAGACAGCGCCGTGCTCAGTTGAGAGATGATCCCATCAAGAAGTACACCAGAGTAAGTTGTTGTTTATAAGTGCACTACACATTATCCAGTCTTCTGCTTAAATCACCATCAATAAATACATTTAAAATAGTTTGTGCTACAGTGACTTGTCTAACTTTATATTTTCAACCGCCAGAATCTCCGTGAGGGAATCAGGAGTGACAAATCAAAGGATGAACGTATGATCTGCCTTAAATCTCTTGCCAATGCTGGACTTAAGGATAACCTGGCTGATGTCCAGAGTATCATTGAAAGTATTGCAACCAAGGAAGACATGAAGGTTCAGGCTATCTGGTCTCTCCGTCGTATGGCCCCAAAGATCCCAAGCAAGGTATGTAGTTGTGGAAACCTACATCAAAAATGGCATCATCATACATTTATTTAACCTTATTTCTATGAATACAATTACTACACTTTTCTTTTGTCATGTTTTAGGTCCGCAATGTCCTCTCACCAGTCTACCATAACCAAGAAAATACCCCAGAAGTTCGTATTGCCGCTTTTATTGTTATGATGGATAGCAATATAACTGCTCCACTCCTGCAATTGTTTGCCCAGTCTCTTCACAAGGAACGTAGTCAACAAGTAGGATCTTTCGTCTTCTCACACTTGAAATCTCTATCAAACTCAACTCATCCTCTGGACAAGCAGAGATCTCGTGATGCAAAATATGCTCTGCGTTTTGCCAAACCAATTGCACCAGGTGCACACTACTCTAAGAATGTACGCTTCACCAACCAAAACAGTAAGTTTTTTTGTATGTTTACAGTAGAAAAACAAAAGTTTGATTAAATAAATTGTACATTACGAGTCTGATATATTTAAATGTACTAATTATTTCAGAGGAACTTGATATGGGATTCACCACTGAGGTTAACACCATCGACACACCAAAATCTTTCATCCCACGCTCAGCCAATGCAAAGCTCAGCACCAACATCTTTGGACGCAATATGAATATCTTGGAAACTGGTTTCCGTGCTGAGGGTCTGCAGACTCTTGTGGAGAAGATTGTTGGACCACAGGGATCCGTCTGGAAGAAAAGTTCTGTTTTGGATCTGCTGAAGAAGAGATCTCCAAGAAGCACAGCTTCACTGGTTGAGAAAGAGAGGAAGCAGCTGAAGAATGATGTAAGCATATATAAAATTTAATTTTAATATACATTATTTTATTTGAACTTTGTATGTTGTATATCTACATATGTTGTATATACGCATAGACTTACATGAATAATTTATGTTTTATTTTCTAGTTACCAATTAAACAACGTACACCTGAAGAGCCAAAGGGATCTGCCTACCTCAAGGTTATGGGCAATGAAATACGCTTCTTTACTTTTGACAAGGACTCTGTCAAGTCTATTCTTGAAGATGGCCAATTCTCTGTGAAGGATGTTGAAGACAAACTGAGGTCACTGCAAACTGTTGAATACCAAAAGGCATACATTCTGGCTGATATGACCCACCAGATTCCTACTGAACTTGGAATCCCACTCCAGATGAATCTGTCTTCTGCTGCAGTTGTCCACATGAGAGTTGAAGGCCGTGCTGAGGTCACCCCATCAGTATTTGAATCCAAACGTCATGGCCAGAGACCAGAGCGCATTACTGCAGAAGCCAAGTTTCATCCCAAGTAAGTGTATTTGTTGGCATTGTGCAATTTAGTGAGCAAAACAAACTTCAACCTTTACATATTGTAACTGTTATTATTAGCTATATTATTTTTTTATTTTAGGATCTCAATGGTGATTGAAGGCAAAGTTGGTGTTGATTGTCATGTACTGAAATCTGGTGTTGGAATTAGAGCCTCTGTCAATACTTCACTTCCATTGAATGGTTCAGTTGAATACAACCTGAAGACAGACAAATACATAACTGAAATTGAGACCCCACAGACAGAACGCCAACTTGTGAACATTAAGAGCAAGCCATTTACATTCAGTCTGATTGGTGAGAAGAAACAACAATCTGTTGAAAGACGTGAAAATGAAGAACAACGTGATACCTGGAGATTATATAGAGATGAACGCAGAGAGCAAGAGTCTGGAGAGGAGAATAGAAGGGAAATTAGAGGCAAGAAAATCCAAGAACATCCAACTGAGGTAAACCATCATATTATTTAGAGATAACTATTATTATATCACAGGCAATTATTATTTTAACTTGACTTGGTATCATATTACATGCAATCAATATATTAAGTTTTATTTTTAAAATGTTTTTATAGGTCAGGCAGCTTTATGGAAAGAAGGATCTTGGTGTTGAATTTGAGATGAAGACAAAGTACGTCAGCAACAAAAATGTTCCAGAATCCCCAGCCCATCCTTTGTGTGGCCCAGTAGAATTTAACATTACTGTTAGACCTGGTGATAATCATCCAAGCAAGGTCGAGATTGAAGTCCGTGTCAACAGAGAAGACAAACATGAATCTGAAGAGCATCTTGAACGTCACAGCATCCGCCAATCTATTCGTTCTAGCAGTGAGGAATTCAGTCGTATGGATAGCAACAGTAGACAGAATGACCGTGATGATAAACGTACATGGGTCCAGAAAGTAGATAGATTTGACTGGAAGAGTGCTAGTATGGAGGAAAGTCGCAGTGAAGAGAGTCGTAGTCGCAGTGAAGAGAGCCGTAGTCGCAGTGAAGAGAGCCGTAGTCGCAGTGAAGAGAGCCGTAGTCGCAGTGAAGAGAGTCGTAGTCGCAGTGATGAAAGTCGTAGAACCAACCAACAAAGCAGGAGTCAAGAGATGGAAGAACCAAGCCAAATGCAGCGTGTAGTTAAAGTGAATAATGTTGTTGTTAAAATCACTGGAATCCACAAGGAAGATCCAAAATACAATCGTCAGTTGATTGCTAAGCTTTCTTTAGATAACAAAGAAGAAAATTATCAATCATTCCATTTTGAATTGGTGTGCGCTCCAAGGAATGTAGAAAATAAGGAGTTCAAGGTAAACATTAGTATTATTATTTAAATTATTTTATATTTGTTTTAATTATTTGTGTATTTTTATTCATAATCATATTATTATTAATGTAGATGTGCATGCAAGGAGAGATCCAGTACCCAGAACAAGAAGAAGAGACTGTTGAGAAACTGGTTGAATCCATTAGACAAACCCGTGAAGACAGAGAATACTTACAACAAGAAAGCCAGCGTATGTCTCGTCCCATCAATGCTCGTGACAATCAACAACAACGTGATGTGGAAGGAAGCTCAAAGCGTATCCTCACTAAATTGACTACTCAGTGGGGCAAGAGTTGTGAAAATGACAAGAAGGTTGAAATAAAGGTACACTATTCTTTTTAAATACAACTCATCTCTTTATAAAACACCTGTGTAAGTTATTTTGTTTATTGATATATGTATTATGTTATATGTGTTTACTCCCAGGCCCGTGTCGAGAAGAGCAAGGATCAACTCAGAGAGGAGAGAGAAAAGAATACCACTGAATACAGACAATGTGAGGAAGACAAGAAGAATGGAAAACAATACTCTGAAGTCTGTACCAACTTGATGAAGAAACGCACCGAATTGCACAAAGTCGATGTTGAGATTAGCCATGAGAGAGTAAGATTTTTAGATTAACATATTTCATTTACGTATTTCATTGCCAATAAGCTAAATTTAGTGGTTCGTTACATTTTGTGCCTTATTTTCCCGTTTTACTTTTTAGCTTCCAAAATGGGTAAAGAGAGTTTACTCCAAGGCAATGTTGCTTGCCCAGAACTATTTGTGGAATAATATGAAGATGGACAACGTAGAAATCGACAACTCTTACAACAAGGTATACATTACTGCTGAATTGGACAAGAATTTCCGTGAATTCAATTTCACCATCAACCACCCATATGAGAATGTCAAGTTTGAAAGAGTTCAAATGCCAGTTAAGGTGCAACCTATGTCAACAAAGAGAACTTATGTTCAACAATGGTTGGATGATATTATGAATGAACAATACACTCGTAAGTATTTCTCTAAAACATGTTAAACTTCCCTTATGAACAAGTATGCAAATACATTTATGCAATTATTGTTTCACATGATTATGTGCATATAAGTATCTGACGATTTTATTCTTTGTCTTTCTCTTTAGCATACTGCAAAGTACGTGGTGATGAAATCAAAACTTTTGATGATGTTTCATACAGCTACAAACTGTCCAAATGCGAACATGTTTTGGCCAAGGACTGCTCCCCAGATGAAAGATTCACTGTCTTGATAAGCAAGAAAAACCTTGACTCTGACAACAAGGTAAACAATGAAGTTGAATCTAAGGATTGTTTGTATTGTGTTATATATTTTATATCAACAGGACAACAAAACATGTTACTGCACATATACATAATGCATTTTGGAAGATAATTGTATATCATGGAAAAATATTATTACTCTAGAAACATTAGAATTTGTATCATTAATGAACATATGTCACCAAGGAAAATTATGGGATATAAAGATATATTCTCACCATAGAAACCTGTGCCAATTTTGGCCATTTTCCTTAATATTTTCATATCCAACAGTTTTCTGTTGCCCCATTTTTTTTTTCATTTTTATGGCTTGAATCCATAATTTCAAATGTATGACAAACATGACATATAATGTCGAATTCCACTCAAACCTCCTTAATAAGTTGTCTTTCCATTGATTTCTTGAATCTAGATCACCAAAATCTTTGTTGAAGACAAGAAAGTTGAATTGATCCCTCAGGAAGAAGAAATGCTTATTCGCATCAATGGTGAACAGAAAGACCTTAAGATTAATGAAAAAATGATTGTTCGTAAAGACAGTGAAATAGAATATGCTCCATTACGTGAAGAATCTCGCTACATTCAATCAGGTTTTGAGAACAGACGCAGCCGTAGCAGCTCTAGTGAGGAAGAGAGACGTCCAGAATGTGAAGAGCTCCGCTTCAGAAACCGTGAAAGTTTAACTAGCCAGGAGCGTATAGTCCTCCGTGAATGTGAAAGAATTGATGAGAGTTACTCCAGCAGCCTCAGTCGCTCTGACAGTCGTCAGGATTCTAGAGATGTATGTGACAAGCTTCGCCAACGTGCTGAGAGAGGAGATTACTTGACTAGTAAAGAGAGAACAACTTACAGATGGTGTGAGGAAGAATCCACAAGTACCAGCAGTGAATACAGTCGTAGCCAAAGCAGTGAGATCAGAGAAGTTACCCCAACCATGTGTGAAGAGCTCCGTCTTCGTGATGAACGCAATGAATACCTCAACTTTGATGAACTTGTCAACATTTACCAATGCAAGAGAGTAGAACGTGAAGCTTGCCGTGATCTCCACCTTCGTAAGCAGAGAAATGAACAGCTTTCTGAGAGGGAAAATGAGCAACTCCGTGATTGTGAGCGCAAACATGTTGAGTGTGAAGAGCTGAGACGCCGTGATGACAATGATGATTATTTGAACACCAAGGAAATCGTCAAATATTTCCACTGCAGAGACAACAAGCGTGAAGAATGTAAGAATCTCCGCTCTCGTCTGGAACGCCAGGAACAACTATCGGAGGAAGAAAGGGAAACTATCCGTCAGTGTGAACGTAGAGAAGATGAATGCAATGAGCTCATTGTCCGTGATGAAAATGAGCTGACGCCTGAACAGAAAAAGAAACTCTTTAGCTGCCCAGAAAAGAGAATCAATAGAGAGGAATGTGAAGATCTTCGTAGCCGAAAGGAACAACAATTGTACTTGTCTACTGATGAGACCGAGAGGTGCCACAAATGTGAGAAAAGAATGATCAGTCGTATCTTTGAACGCAGAGATGAGGTCAGTCGCCAGGATTGTGAAGAACTCCGCCGCCGTGAAAACAGAGGTGAATATTTGAACAACCAGGACAACGACAAACTGCGCCAATGCAGAAGACAGGAAGAGTCCAGAAGCGGTAGCTATGAACGCAGAGATGAGATCAGTCGCCAGGATTGTGAAGAACTCCGCCGCCGTGAAAACAGAGGTGAATATTTGAACAACCAGGACAACGACAAACTGCGCCAATGCAGAAGACAGGAAGAGTCCAGAAGTGGCAGCTATGAACGCAGAGATGAGGTCAGTCGCCAGGATTGTGAAGAACTCCGCCGCCGTGAAAACAGACGTGAATATTTGAACAAACAGGACAGCGACAAACTGCGCCAATGCAGAAGACAGGAAGAGTCCAGAAGTGGCAGCTATGAACGCAGAGATGAGGTCAGTCGCCAGGATTGTGAAGAACTCCGCCGCCGTGAAAACAGACGTGAATATTTGAACAAACAGGACAGCGACAAACTGCGCCAATGCAGAAGACAGGAAGAGTCCAGAAGTGGCAGCTATGAACGCAGAGATGAGATCAGTCGCCAGGAATGTGAAGAAATCCGTCCTACCTCAGACCGCCCAATTGAATATTTGTCCAGAAATGAAAACGACAAACTGCGCCAATGCAGAAGACAGGAAGAGTCCAGAAGTGGTAGCTATGAACGCAGAGATGAGGTCAGTCGCCAGGAATGTGAAGAACTCCGCCGCCGTGAGAGACAAATGAGATGCGAGTGCCAGGAACTTAGCCGTACTGAACAAGAGAGAGAGCTGTCAAGAGATGAGCGTACCAAAGTCGAGGAATGTCGCCGCCGTGAATCATCCTCCGTTGAGGTATCAAGCAAAGAGGAAAATTACTGGAATAGATTCGCAATTCGTGTCCAAACCGAGTTGAGATCCAATGAAGAATATAGAAGTGATAGACGCGAAGAAGACAATAACATAAACCCAATTGAATTTATTGTCATCCGCTACGAAGATAACCGTGTCGAGGTCATCAGTACAAAAGTTGGATTAAGGGTCAAGTCTGATGGAAAGAACATTAAAGTCGAGGTGAGCAATAAAACACACTCAAATTATGAAACCGACAACAGCTATATTATTTACAATGACATAAGTAAAAAATAAAACTATAAATAATAATAATATACTTTCAGCTACTAGCAATTTATTTACTGACAGACATAACCATTGTTATCTTGGCAGGTCTCTCAGTTCTTCCGCTCCGAACTGTGTGGTCTGTGTGGCAACTTCGATGGTGAGAAGAACAGGGAATTCGAAGGACCACAAAAGGAAATATACGAAGAACCTAAACAGTTTGGTCTCAGCTACCAGGTCCCAAGTGAAAAATGCTCTGCCGATGGTAAGTGAAAATATTATAATGTAATACGTTTATAGTTAACGCAAATCATCTCCGTTATCCATTTGTTAATATCACAGTTTTGTTTCAGTATTTATTTATAATATGTATTATAGTTGGATATTTATTTTGACTGCTGTAGGTCAACATAATATTGAATTTAATATAAATAAAGATTAAGTATATTAATATTAACAATCAGTTACTCGATGATATTTTATAATTACAATTTCTTTCTGTGTTTTTTTTTCACAATAGCTACTTGCCTGCCACGTATGAGGAATGTCGTTATTGAGAAGACTATTGATGGCCAAAGAAAGACATGTTTCTCTACTACCCCCGTCTCACAATGCCTCGATCAATGCAGAAAGCAGAAGAGCGAGAAAATTGACATGAAATTTTACTGTCTTGAATCAGTCCTCCAGTCTACTCAAGACCTCGTCAAACTCAGCAAGACACAAATCATCAGCAAGTTCACCAACTTGGATGCCGAGGTCCGCGATATCGTCGATGTCCACACCGAGTGCGCCCGTAATTAAATGCAAAAACTACGAAACCATATGAATCTTTAATTGTCCAAACAAATCGTACATATCTAAGTTTTTATCTATTTTCTTTCTTTTAGCCTAGCACAATTTGCTTTGTAAAAAACAAAAAAACATGTCATCGTTATTTTATTTCGTGTGTAATCTTGGTGTGTGCAGGGTTTTATTGAATACTAGCTGTAATTATTATTTTCCTTATTTTAGCGCACATTAAAAATATCTTCAAACTTCAAATAACTTCTTTTTTCTGCATTATCCACGTACACACACACACACATGAGGCTGAGTATTAGAAAAACTTACTTTGGCAGAATGCCGTGGTTTTTTTTCTCATACTCGTCCGTTCCCCTTTCCAATTTCTCCTAATATCAAGTTCACATGAACATTCCATAAGTTATAAGTGTCCGCTAGTCATGCTGGCTTCATCAGTAGTCAACTATGATGGTTCATTACTACCGCCCCTCCCCCTGCCCACCCTGCCTACCTCGCCTGAATCCACTTGATAGCTGAAAATCTGAATAATTCTATCAGCACTATTTATTATTATTATTCCAGATTTGCCATCGCGACACTACGCTAAATTACTGTAGTGTGCGGTCAGAAACCGAAGAAAATATAAATTAAAAAAGTGATAATGAAATTATTTGGATTTTCAGCCCTCGATTGTCCTGGCACGCCGTGGAGCGAGGTCATGATGATGGTCTGTAATGATCTCGCCCAATCGCATACACCTCGGCTCCGTCTCTACACGAAGAAAGCTAATCCAATGAGCCTCTGAACGAATGTACCTAAACTACTAGTAGATACATCCGAAACTAGATACCTATACTAGAATACACGCTAATCTAATAGTTGTGTTCCTATTTATTCACAGTTTATTAATATCACTGTACAATGTGTCTGTCAGTAAAGTAATGTTTTGGGCAGACATTGGTATTAGAATGACAAGAATATTAACTCCCCTCACTCCTTTGCAATAACGTCGTGCAAATATAACACACTACAAAGAAAATCCAAGAATAATATTGTTATATCACTCGTACGGACACCCATTATGGTCGTTATCAGAATTCCCACGGGTGACGCTTGTATTGAAACAATATCTAGCTTATCTTCACATTGCTGTCAACAAGCGTGGTTTGTAAAACAATATCCGTGTCGCTTTTAGCACGTATGTGGTATATGGGAAGCTGACAGTGTATGGCACCACGTGTAATAATACAATTCGCAAAACATTATTACCTGTGTCAAATCAGCCTATAAAACATTTCATTTCATGAAAAGTACACCACTAACTTGTTTCGTAATTCGGTATAGGAATTGGTAATAGGACGTCACCTTAACAAGTGAGCGCATGTTTTGTTTTGTTTTGTGTGTTTTTGTTTTGTTTTTGTAACACCATCGCCCACAGTCACTCGATGTTGGGATATATTGTGCGTTTTCTAACACACAAACACCATCTCTGAGTAGCTCGAACACCGTCTTGTTCTTCTTATATTGACCCCTTAAGCCGCCCCAAATAACTCATTTAGTAAAGATACACTATGGACGAGAACATGTAATTCGCATTGTTGATGTTTGATACTGTGCAATGATGACTGCGATACATTGGAGGAGCACACATCTATTTTTTCTATTAAACAATGAAATTCCCTGATACGCATGCGCATTGGTTGTTTTATTGAGTACAGTAACACGAATTATCATTGCACATGCGTATTAGTGGGTTTGATCTAAGCATATACCCTCTAAAAAGAGGGTCTATGATCTAAGAGGGGGACAAGGGGGTAGCTGGTACAATACAACAATACTATAAAACATATGTGTTCGTCAATGTTTCATCTTTAATTTGTTTTAGTTTAATTTATTTGTCATTGAGAAAACTTAGAAGAATTGATTACATTTAACGCATTTTTCTGTTCACAGTCAAATTTAGAAGGCATGCTATTTTCCATGACAATGTAAATAGTGAAAAATTTACGGTATTAGTAGACGATTGTTTTTTTTCTTATGTTTATTTTTAATTGTATTTAAAACAGTACACGTCGTATTTTCATATACCTTTTAATAAAGTTTCGGCACAGATGGGAAAAGCGCCGTCTTTGCAGCATTACATTGCTTCAGGTGGGAACCAGCGTTGTGTCGAAGCGTGTAGAGAGGGCGCCGACCTGCCGCGTCAATGGAACCAGCCAACACTTTGAGCCAATCAGAGTGCATGTACCATAACCTGATATAAATCCTTCAGCTGTCAACGTCGTTCAGCAAATGCGGTCTCATCGAAGCACGAAATTTCGCCCAGAAGCAAAAAATTGGGTAAGATTTTACAAAGGTACAATTTCTTTCATAAAATGACGAGTTCCATTGTAAGAACTTAATCGAAAACTTTCATTGTTTTTCATATTCCCATCAGAAGTTGCTGTCGGTCGCACACCACTAAATTGTTTACCGGTGACTTATGAAATTGACTTGATTCATATAATTTGTGACGGTTTTTTTTGGGGGGGGGGGTGAAAACTGCTCATATAATAAACAACTCATGTAAAAAATGAGCTATATTCTGATTTCTGAGAATATTCACATTTTTAGGAAGATTATCTGAAAGGAATATCAATATTCTTGTTTTAGCTGTCTTGTAATGGGACTGAAGGTACTGTTGGCAAATTACTATAATTTTGTTAATCATATTAACAATAAAGAGTATCGTGAGCAGAATTTAATCATTTGGCAATAAATTATTGATCTTGTTGAAATTTATCAGGTACTGGTGTAAGTATATTTATCCATTGTTTGATGTGTTATATAGCCTGACATTGACAAGGTTGCGTGAGTTGTGGAGTTCCAAACCTAACACACGCCTGACAGAGCGATACAGTTTTTCACCTTCTTCACGATTTTTTGTCGGTACCAATCACATTGCAGGAACGTCAGATAGTGACAACCATGAAAAAGTAACCATTCACGGCAAGAGTTTATTTTGTTGTTGACATAATGTGTGATAAGGTGCTGGCAAATTTCCGCCCTATGTTTATCATCTTGTTGAAAACAGGCTATGATTTTTGCTGACAATGCAAACACGGCTTTAATTGACGGTATTACCATGACCACCAAAATGAATACTAGTATTCATTGAAACTCATTGCAAAAAGGCGTGAACTTCCAAACTCGCAGTATTGATCTTGCCAGAGACATACTTTATTCTGTCAGGTGTTATTGGGGTATGATGTTGTTCTGCTGGTGAGGGCATCACTCACACCTACTTGTCAGGCTACATGATATATTGTATTTATTAAACAAGTGTAGTAATTTTCATAGTGAGAAAGTGACATGAAAATTACTACTGTAAAATATGTATTAGAAGCCGCGGCTTCTATTAAAATGGTACAATGCAACAGAGGAGATGCGGCTTCTATTAGAGAATCTACACATTTGAGAAATGGTGAATTTTTGGTTCTCAATTGTTCCAAAAAAATGTGTGCGGCTTCTATTAGAGATGTTGCTTCTAATACAGATTTTACGGTAAATGAATTTAATAAATGCGATATTACACAGTCACAAATTTTAATATACTGTTTGTCTATTCTATCATTTACACACATCAAAACCATTTCTTCAATGTGCTTGCAACAATTTATGAACTGTGATTAAACAAACTTTATTTATTGTTATAGAGACACATTGGCAATCATTTAGCTAAATTGTGATCTAGTGTTCAATCAGCGACTTCATGCATCTTAACAGAAGAGCAATGGTTCAGTGGAGAAAATCACAATTATCACAGTTCTGTATGCAAACACTGCCACTGTCACATGTCTTGTTTGTCTAAAAAATGCAATGCAATGCTTTGAATTGGCTCATTTCTCGCTTCTCCTCTGGAGTGACAAGGCTCTTCTATGGCTCTGATTTAATAATAATAATAATAATATTTATTTACCCAATAATAATAACAATAAGAAACATGAAAAATAATAGCAAAAGTAAGCCACACACACAAAAAAAAATACAGAGAAACCCAATTGGTAAGAAAAAATATATATATTAGGTAAAAAGGAAATCAGAAAATAGCTTACTGCTAGTCTAGTCTGATTTTCAATATACACTGGAATTAAATTATAATGTATAAAGCAGAGAGCCAAAAATAAGTGTATTAGATAAACTAACCAAATTAATAAACAACTAAATAAATGAATATGTAAATTAATACAAATGAGTGATAAATAAACATATATCTAATTACTTAATAAATGAACAAATATGTCTGTATGGCATCACGCTTTGCTGACACCACCACCATTTTCAGGGCAACAAGACTAGGAGCAGCTATTCTTGCACTGCTATGGCCCTTTAATTACAAGTTCCGAAAAGTCAAAAGACGCTGGTAGACATGCAACCCGGAAGAAGTCAGCAGCATATTTTAAACAGTAGTTAGCAGAGTGAGGGCAGCTAGAACTATTTATGACAGCTGAGAAACGTGGAATTCCAGTTGAAAAAGATGATTTTTCAGAGAAAATGGACTGAAATAGAGATGGTACATGTGTGTTTCAAGGAGTAAAATATGGTAGTGACATAGTTTTTCAACTCCCAAAATACCTGTCTTACCTTCCAGTTTGTTGACCCCCGGTCACACAATATACTCAAGCGCACAAACGATGAGCCCGCTATCAGTTCGGGAACCCAGCAGTAGAGCAAGAGAAGCTTTTAGGATTCAAAGAAATAGTTGCATAGCAGTGCATCTATTTTGTTGTACAGTTATGGCACTGAAAGTGATCCTTGTCATGAGACACTTTTGGTAGTAATACAACAGTCAAGGCAGCTTGGTTTTCACGGCTCTAAGGGGATAAAGCAACTGAATTTTCAGTTTAGTATATGCAATTATAGGTGATGCACAATACATTACATATATTGATTGCTGCAATTTCACAATCAAAGTATTTCAAGAGTCAAAATATGTAACTTTTGGTCAAAAGACTAGGATGAAAATGATATTTTTTCAATGTTTAAGCTTTGTATTAACTGATTTAATTCAAACTTGGAATATATACTCTGTATTATGCGACATTGCTTCAAGGGATGGTTTGTGGTTCAAGCACATTTCGCGGTATTGTTTGTTTGTTTTTTGAGTAAAATTAAGGGTTCATTTCGAGAAATATTAAAGAATATAAGAAAAAAGTGCAGAAAAAAATCAGGTGAATTTGTGATGATAAAAAAGAACTGGTGGTGAAACACTTAAATTATAC